GGAACGGGGCAGCTACGGCAGAGGCTGTGTCTGTGCTTGGGGTTTTTTAGCCTAAGAATCCTACAAACACTTCGAAGCACTGAGGCTCAGAGCATTTATTATCATGACACTTGAAAATGCAGAGTTGGTCCTGTTTGTTTACATGTTGTGTGGTTTGGGTTTTTTGACCCCAGCCGTCATCTCACAGATACCTGTACATGGATGGCATCTTCAGTACAGGATGTCACTGCAGTTGGTGGAACTTTCCAAGCCTTAGGCAAGAATGGTTTTTGTAACTGTGTTTTCAGAGCACTTGCCAGTGCGGTTACACCAAGAGTGCTACCCCCGGGTGAGGCTGGATGTGCAAAGTCAATCTGCAGGATTGGAATCTGATTGATTTAAGTGCAGGGCAGCACATAAGTGTGCCTACGTTCACTTAAACGTATTATCCCAGTCGTCTGGGGTAACTCGGGATTTGACAGCACAGCCGCGAAGCCCTGGACTCCGCACAGGCAGTGTGGGATGGTTCGGTTGTTGCCGTGCTGCTATTGCAAAGCTCCCTGATGTCTGCTGTAAGTTAAGTCACCTCGCTGCTTCATTCCGCAGAATATAGATGTGTTTTCAAACCAGGGAGATCACACTCAATCTGGAAAAATTTATGAGACTGTGTTTTTAAACCCTAATTTGTTTTATCTTCGCTACTGCGAAAATATTGTTGATGACAGTCTTTGAAGGCAGAATTAGATGGTAATACTACCAGCTGGTGCCTAAAGCAAGGCTTACTTGCACAGAGTGATTTTAGTGTTGTATTTGGTTTAAGCAAATTGAAATGTATTTTAAAGACCAGAATCCGAAGCTGGCCAGCCAACGATTTGGGTAGATGTGGCCTAATAGTCTTGTTTCATCTCCAGCTACTGCTCCTACATGAAAATTAGCACAGTAATTGGCTTGCTCATCCTTTTCTGTAACAGATGAGTGAGGTACTTGGATTTTACCTAAAATAGTTTAAAACTTGCAGCTAAATTAAATTTTCGCTCTTTATTTAAAAGAGCCTGACAGATGCTCTTGTCTTTCCCCCCACGCAAAGCCTACAGCCGGAAGGCACAGATGTGCTGCTGGGACCAGAGGTGACGTGTGGGCCCTCGGATCTGTCTGTCAGCGCTCCCTTCGCCTTGACGATCCCGCACTGCGCTGAAGTGAACTCGGAGCACTGGAATATTCACTTGAAAAAGAGGACACAGCAAGGAAAATGGGAGGTAAGTTTAGACTCCTGCTCCCACTTCAGGCTGCAGCAATGATGGAAATGTGATTACTGTTACTCATGCAGGGGCAGGTCAAAGATTACGTGATACAAACAGTCATCTTAAAGAAACCGTTTTTAAAAAAGACTTTGCAGCTAAGAAGCAGCTAAACTATTTTCAACTATTGTACCAAGATGTGCAAAAAAGGGTCCATGTTATGATGTAGCCCTTGTGACATGGGCAACTGTGCCTTTTCTCAGGGCACTTAATGACGGAGCCAGTAGCCATTCATTTTTAAAAACATTGTTTTGATAGCTCAGAGCTACCAAACTGACTCCTGTCAGAACAGACCATTACAGCCACACAAGAGTGTACCATGACATAAAGTAAGTTATGGGGGGTAGTTAACAATATACACTCTGAGTTTAAGGTATTTTAACCTTGAAGGATCCTCCCGATTTAAAAGTCCCAGTTCTTTGTACGTGTCATTTGAATGGGCATTCAGTGATCACCCTGTGCTCGTGACCTCTGAAGGATCAGCATACGTTACATGAAATGCTTTGCTTTTTTAGTTGTATTTTCTAATCCTGATCTATTGGGGAAATCAATCTTTGTGCATTCAGCACACGGGCATTTAATCATTTGTGTCTGTCCACCTGCATTTTTTAAGACTGGAACTGCTTGGTAGGCAGCAGTACCAAACGTATTAAACTTTTGCGTCATTTAGGGAGACAGCCTGAAAAAATACACCTGAAGGGATGGCCAAAGCATGAACCAAACTGTTATTCAGCATTACAGATACCCACACAGGACAGAAAGGTGCTGAATTCCCCAAGTATGAAGTGTTCGCTGTACTCGTTAGTAGAGCCGCAGAACCCAGTAACCAGGCACAAACCCTCAGGCAGTCACATTTCATGGTGCTGCTGCTGCTGGAACTTTGGTTCATTGCAGTGTGAGGGGAAAAACCAGGAGTTAAAACATTCCTGGATACCATAACTATCCTCCTCCTCCTCTAAACCGTGATGTTCTTTATTGCTCTCATTTAAACCATTTCAAGTTCAGTTTAGTTTTCCTACTTCAGATACACTCGATGCCCAGTGTTGGTTACAAGCACCCTGGAAGTGGTGTAACACCAGAGCACAGACTGCTCAGATACCTCACCTAACGCTGCTGTAATGCACAACTAAGCATGAAAGGCAGCAGGGTGGGATAGGGAGTTTTTGATGAAGGTAAACGTGATCGTAATGCATGTTCTGAAAAGAAGTCCAATACCAACTGTTGTTCAAGGTTTGCTTATTGACTTTAATCTTCAAGGTAATTTCCTAACTTGACATAGGGGAAAAAATTAGCTAGGAAGTCAAGAGCACTTGAAAGAAGATGCTAAAATTGCTTGCACATCATCACCATCATTATTATATGCTGTGTACATCAAATTCTGCACAGCACATTGCCATAAATCCTATTGCTGACTCAGGGGTGATCTGGCAGTATTTACTTTTATAGGTAGTCTGCCTCCTCCCCTTCCCCGCGGGCAGCATGAGTAAGAGTGGCTCTCAGAAATACTTTACATTCCAGCTGAATAAACCCCAACCAATAATGTCATGACTCCTATTGTCCTGAATTTCATTTTGCAGGAAGTGATGTCTGTGGAAGAGGAAACTACTTCTTGCTACTGCCTGTTGGATCCTTATGCCTGTCACATTCTCTTAAACAGCTTTGGAACTTATGCTCTTGTTGGAGAACCCATCTCTGACTGCGCCGTTCGACAGCTGAAAGTAGCGGTTTTTGGCTGCCTGTCTTGCAATTCTCTGGATTACAATCTGAGAGTGTATTGTATGGATAACACACCTTGTGCGTTTCAGGTAAATGGTTTCACTTTGTTAATTTGCTTCCATTTGGTTTTCTGTATAATATTAACATTGCTTTGTTCCTGGCGATAGTCACTGGGCAACAGCAACAATCCCAAACTCAAATGAGAACACTGGGTTTTTTATTGCCAGTGCTGCATGACTTATTCTGTCCCTTAATTTCTCTGCACTGTTGTTTCACTTGTGCTTTTACACTGCAAGAGGTTTAGGACAGCCGAACGGTCTAGATTAACCAAAAATGCCATGGCCATGGCTAGCACAGCACAGAGCTACAGCTGACAGCAGAGTGTGGGGTTGGGCTCTGTGCCTCGGCCACTCCACGGGCACAGGCAGAGCTTGCATCTGGAGGAAGATGTAAGCAGAAAATGTAAGTCATTTCCATTTGATGTATAGCACTTCTCATGCTCCTTACCCGTTCGCTGTCGTTAGTTCAGGATTTCCTCTCGTTTTTACAATTCGAGCAAGAAGAAAGAGATTTCCTCACTATCTTTTTAAACAAAAATTAAATTATAACCATGCATTTCCCCTTAAAAAATGACAACAAAACACAAAAAAATCCCCAAGTGGCAATTAAAATGAACATGATCTGTCTGCATGGTACTCTGAGACAAACACATGCAATTCACTGGCTTTTGCAGGCTTTGCAAACTCAGAAGCTTTAACAAAACGGTTTTCTTTGGGGAACTGAAATGAAGACAGTTGTGACAGATGAATTTTTGCTTCCTTTTCCTATCGTACAGAACAGAAACATGAATCGTAATGAAGCACACACTAATGTCTGTGTGCTTCTAATAAAAGCAAAGCCACTGAAAACACTCTTAAAGACTTACAATAGCTTTGTAATTACAGCCTTTATAGCGCTCACACAAGCCGTGGGTTACCAGTATCTTCCTGCATGAGACTCCTGAAATCCAGAGGCCCAAATTCCTCCTGAGGCATTAGTGAACACGTCCAAGTAGCTCTGAGTCATACCTTCACTTAATATAATTAACCTGAACCTGTATTGTCTGATGCCTTTAGCGACTCTGCCCGTCTGCATTTAGTAACGTGCAGCAGGTTTATAAAAACGCACAAAAATCTCTGCAACTTTTAAGTATAGAGAAAAAACCTCCCACAGAATTGTGCAACACAACCATGAAGGAGGCCAAGAGGGAAATGAGATTAATCTTATTCAGAGCAATCACCGATTGTTTTCACACTGCTTCATACAGCATGGGAGAGTCTCTTCCAGCGATTCATTCATGCTGAATTTTGCCTTCAGTATATTAAATTTAAAAACCCAACGAAACACAAGAGCCCTCACCCATGGCAGCCGGATTTGACTGTTCCATTTTGTTTCTCGAATTACTATGACGTTCAGCAAAACAGCGAAGGAGACTGGTTTATCCTTTTCTTAATGCACATTAAAATAAGATTTCAAACCTACTTGTTGCTTTTCTGAAGAAAATTCCTAGAAGAATAATTACCAGTTTTCCTCATTCACAAAAGTAGAACAGGGTGTTTGTTCATATTGAGACAACTGTGTATTTATGAAATTATACTTCCCTTAAAAGCATCCTGCATCAGCTTCATAGCTTTGTGCTAGTGCAGATATTGAGTGGTGAACATGACAAATACAGGGTTTTTTGGCTAAAGGATCGGAGTTGGGCTTACCAAGTTTTGTGTGAGTCTCTTAACCCTTTCCAGGGCAGTCCCATGTGAGACACAGAGCTCCTCCATTTTTCACTTTGTCCTTGTGTGGAAACTTACCGCAGTTTTCTAACAGATTTGCCCTTTATGCAGTTCCTGGTGTGCTGGGGAACTCTTGGCCCTCAAAAGATAAAAGACCCAAGTCCTTCTGTATTTTGTGTAGCCCTGCTGACGCCTGTGAATTAAGGACCATTTGCGCTCTCAAAGGTAGAGCAGCATTTATACAACTACGGTCCATTTGGAAAACACTCCAACACGTCAGGGAATTTTGAAAATAATCATGAAATAAACTACACCCTTTGCGGTTGGAAATCAAAAAGTAAAGTCTCCCTTTTTATCCCTTCTTTCTCATAAACCCAGCCACCAGGAGTTAAAACAAGCTGGATGCCTGTAAATTGGTTCATAATAGAAATCCATTATTACCGTTTCAGAGCTCTAGCAGTCATTATATTTTCAGAAGGTCACAATGATTCCAGCTCTTCTAACGATAACTTTGCTGCTGACAAGCACTAAACCTCTCCGATGTTCACACATTGTATATCATTTTAGTGGGTAAAAAAGGTAATTTTGAAAGACTGCTTGCTAGCTGATTTTTAAGGATTTCTGCAAGCTTTCCTTCCTCTCTGGTGTTTTTATTGTTGCTCTACAGGAATAAACACTGTGTGAGTACAGGCAGGGGTGATGTTGTTACTCTTATGTTTTAAATTCACAGAATTATATGAAAATTGAGGTTGGAACAGACCTCTAGAGGGCTGCAGTGCGAATTCCTGCGCAAAGTCGGCCCTTCCAAGATGGCTCAGGGCCTTGTCCCGTAATTCTGAGAACGTGAAGCATTTTGTCTAACGTGCACACGTGGCGTGTTTCTTTTGGTGCTTTTTAAAGTCCTGAGGGTGCTTTCTCACCAAACCTGCCAGCTGAATCTGTACCAAGCGGATATTCACTGAGCGTGCCTTCTGGTGTCTGTCTGTCTGAGTCTGTCAATTCAGCGTCTCGCTGAGCATGGCAAGTGTTTAAGGAGCACTAGACACAACCTCTCGTTTTGTATGGAAAAGCTTAATTAAAATAGAAAGGATGGTTGTGTTATTCCAGCTCAGAAGAGGGATTCATTAAACAGTGATGCCACAAATAACCAGTTCCCGTTTTCCTCTCTGGAGGAAAGAGCTTTACCTGGCAGTGGGTCTTGCTTCCCTCCCCGTGCTGTTGGAGCGCTCTGGGTGTGCACTGCTGTCAACTTCTCCTTGCAGCCGCCATCCTGTGGGTGCAATAGCATGGAAATGCTGTAGGTGAACGAGGCACCTCCATAAAGGTGAATTTTCATCACGTTTGGCGTTTGCTCCTAACACTGAAAAAATTCTTTCCTCCTCTGCCGTTGTAGGAAGTGGTTTCAGATGAAAGACTCCAAGGAGGACAGCTACTGGAGGAACCCAAACTTTTGCATTTCCAAGGGAATACCTTCAGTCTTCAGATCTCTGTCCTCGATATCCCTCCGTTCCTTTGGAGAATTAAACCATTTACTGCATGTCAGGTACTTGGCATTTTTATTTGTTTACGTTTGAATTCAGAGGAAGTAAGAACTTGCACTGCTATAGGCATAGCCCAAATAAGACAGCGGTCCCCTGTATTTTTTGAATAGTGTAGTTTTAATCTCTTGAGTATGCAACAAAATTGCATTGCAAAAATGCATTTTGACAGAGATTTCCTATGTAACAGAACTCTTTACATTTTTCATTTTACAAAAATGCAAGCTTGTGCTTTTCCTCATTTCAATTACCTCAGACGTAAGGCCTATTTTCTTGTTAAACGGTGAAGGTGTTTCTCATGTTTGTTATTCCAATGTAGCTATGAATACATGGCTGAAAATGTAATCATCTAAATGTCACGAGTTCAGATGACAGAACGTATATACTAAGAACTAGAACTGAGGAAAAGCAAGGGTAGCCTCTGTGTTTCTTTGCAGTTAAGAATTTGGGGAGGATTATGTCTGCAAAGTTGGTATTTCTTTGGGACATCGCCTCCTTTGCTGGCTGTGAGCGCCTGGTGCGTGCAAAGTTCTGAAAGGGACTCAGGCCTCCAAACAGCGTGTGTGCAGTTCAGCACTTTTCTTAATGTCGTGTGCAACTTCTCTGAATAAATATATTGCTCATGGTATATTAAACGCAGGCATTTTTGTTCTCTGTCGGCAAGTAATAGTCTAGAGTTTCCAGTCAAAGCTGAACTGCAGGGCGCTGTTTAAACAGGATGTGACAGCCGATGCGAGTTTCTCAGTATTAATCTTCACGCGTTGCAAGGACCTTGCTTTGCTGAATCTACTGCGAGTGGCACGGTGTAAAGTAGCTATTAAGTTTATTGCTGCAGGATAAAAACAAATACAAAGTCAGATGAGGGAGCCCTAACTCACCGAAGAACGGTTCAGTGCCGTGCTCGCTGCACGGAGCTGCAGAATGGCAGAGCTGCTGCAGACACTGCTCACAGTGGCACAGGACCCCTTCCCTCAGCACCCACCGGGGCTATAAACTAGCACGGGCAAAGCCTCTGCTGCAGAGCAGTGCTGCTACTGAACCCAAATCAGTGCCTACATCTGGTAACTGAATATAGTCTGCATGACTTGGACAGCTAGAACAGGAACTGCAGAACAACTTACACTGGCTTTGTATTTCCCTCTCAGTGAAACGTTTTCTGCTGACAGCTCTGGTTCGGTTCCAGCCTCTTTCTATATAAAAAAATCTATTTCTTCACGTGGAGTTTCCTCCAGTGTTGTTTTCTCTCCTATGAACCACACATTAAATACAAGCTGGCTGTTCTGGTTGTCAAGAACAACTGAAAAGAGCATATTCCATAAGTGACTACGTGGTCCAGCCAATGAATCCGTTACCAGATAGTACGATGAGGAAAGACTTATGTTAAAGGTTTCTCATATAAGACCCTGTTTCAAGGCTTGAAGAGATGAATAAGTCGCCATGTGAGGCTGCGGCGTAAAAGCAGTTAATGGCAGGTGGCAGTCGGAATTTCTCTAGACTGCGCTAAGTGCGTGTGTTTGTCCTGGCCATGCTGCAGGAGCAGATGCTGAGTGCTTGGCGTCCTTCCCACCGCGTTCACAAGTAACGTGGGGGAACCCTTCAAACTGGTTGGGTGTTGGAGCAGGAGGAGGCTGTGACAAGCATGCAAAGGAGCCAGACAGGCACCTGTGGGGTTACGAGCAGCTGCCTTCCTAGCATCTTGTGTCTCTTGGAGCATCCAGTGTCTGTCTGGAGCTATGAGATGATTTACATTCCCTCTGTCTGCTAGGAACTTAATTATAAAGGGAGAATAAGACTGAAAGCATTTCTGGAATACTTTAAACAAACATTCATCGTTCACCATGCTTTGCCCCTCTGTATTATGTTTCATATAACTCTTCTCAGCTGAGTGATTCTTCCACTCTGAATGAAAGCAGCGATGATTACTCTGGAAAAACCTAATTACATTTGCTCCACTTCTAATATTTTGCTAACGTCTCCTTTATCACTGTTGGTATCTTACTACTGCTACCAACTCAGGATCCAGATGCAGAATTTACCATTATCGCTTAGCGCAGCATTGCAGGCACCTGAGCTGCTCTCAGGGGCAGTAACTGCGTGTGAGCCGTGGGTGCAAGGACACTGCCCAGCTCTGTGTCTGTACTTGGAGCACGGGGTGAGGCTGAGCTCCGACGCTGCACGTCCTCAATTACTGCTGCATGGCTGATTTCTTCAGGGACACAGACAAGATCACAACCTAAGGCAAATGCTTTCAGGAAGGCAAGAAACCTTTTTCTTGTTTTCCGAGCTGTGAGCTCTTAGGTGAGCTTCCGCAAATAAACTGAGCATAGGAGTTGAGTGCTTGGTTTACTGGTTGGTAACAGCTCTACTAGTTGGCAGATCACTCAGTTATAGCTGCCAGTATTCGACACTGCAGGAATTACAGCTGCCTATAGGCAGCACATTTAATGTCCTTGTCCATGTCATTTATTAACCCTTTGTAAAGCTCTGAAAAATGCAAGCAGAATGCACGCCTGGATTCAATTTGCACAATATTCTGTTTTCTTTGAAGGATCAGCTTCACATGCCATTGAAATAAAGTCTAAAATTTAAAAACAGTGCATGAAAAAGGGAAAATCTGTAAATTCATAATCCACCTCTAGAAAACTAATGTAAAAATCTTTAGATTTCTCATGCTAGAGTAATTGCTCATTAAGGCTGTTAAATGCTGTCCCACAATCATACAGACAAATGCTAAGATATAATAGAATGAAATATTAATATCATTTTTTTTCTCTTTTACGTTACTGTCCAAGTTGCCAATTCTACAGTGTTTCCCAGTATTTTGAAATTAACAGAGAACATTTATTAGTTTTGCCCTATTTTTGGGTTTGCAGGGAAGTTTGTAAAAAAGCCATCGCAGAGATAAAGAATGGCTTTTTTTCCCCTGTTTTGCAATTGTCACAACTGCTCTCTCTGTCGCTCCTGCTCCCCGCTGTGGGATGCGTCTCCCACAGGAGGTCCCGTTCTCTCGCGTGTGGAGCAGCAGCCAGACCCCGCTGCACTGTGCCTTCTCCCTGGAGCGCTACACGCCCGCCACCACGCAGCTGTCCTGCAAGATCTGCGTGCGCCAAGTCAAGGGGCACGAGCAAATCCTGCAGATCCACACGTCCATCCTAGAGGTGAGGTGTCCTCCCTCCTCTCTGGTGAGAGACCTGATTCCTCCCCGCCTTGTCCTCCCCGTCTCTGTGGTTTCTTATGCCCTGTTCAAAATGGTAACAAGCCCATAAGAGCCTGACGGATTCCCCTTCCAGCGGAAACCAAAGCACAGAGATTCTACAACACTCAAAATAATTCCTGTTTGAGTTGGTGGTAATAGTTTTCTTGCAAGAAGTTTTTGACTAGTTTGCAGAGCACTGAGAGTTGAAAATGGATTAATTCAGTAGACAGGCGAGCAATGAAAACTTCAGGTGCTTTTTTTAGGTTACTGAGCATCCTTGTTGATTAATCCAGATTAATACTTCTGGATTAAAGATATATGCCCATTGCTAAATGCAATGTGCAGAGAACGCAGCGAGTTAATAAGAAAACCACAAAATATATAAAAACATCCTCAGAGCATGGCTGTTTTTCAGGTTCCTCATTGTCATTTCCTAAAAAACTTCTGTCATTCTCTATATATCTCAAGACAAAGTTGCTGCTGCCTTTTTTCCCCCTCTCTCTTTTTTCCAAGGGACCTGTCTGTCCACAAGTCCCCAGAGCATGTTACAATTCTGTCTTCAAATGGATTTGCTCGTATGGAGGCTTTCTTGTGCCTATCTCAAAAAGTGATTGAAGAGTGAGGATAATTTAACTGCAAAATAAATATATAACTAACAACTGAATGCTTGAATTGCTCTTTGCTTTACAATTCCCTGAACTAACCAGGTAGCGGTAGCTTATCTCACACGTGCAGGGTATGAAAATCTCCTGTTGTTCTGCATGTTTAATTTAAACAGTCGGGCCATGCGATACATCTACAGCACCACCATTACCTTGCATGGATGACTTCTGGGATGTGTCATAAATGTTCTATGAAGAGACGATAGCATCGTCGTTATTTAATATTTATGCTGCATCGCACTGAAACGAATAACGCATAGAAATGTGCCTCTGTTACATAAGACTGGCGCGATTCTCACTGTGAAGAGGCCGTGCAGAAATCGGGTGTGGGTTCCCCATTCCTCAGCCAGGGCACGGCAGGACTGGGCACAGCCGCCCGCAGAGCCAAGCAGGACGCCCGATGCCCCTCTCACCGCTTTGCTCTTGTGTTCTGTGCAGAATGAAAGAGAAACCATCGCTTTCTTTGCACACGACGACAGCAACTTCCCTGCCCAGGTGGGTCCAAAAGCGTTCAAAATCCCCTACTCGATCAGACAGCGGATCTGTGCGACGTTCGACACACCCAACGCCAAAGGCAAAGACTGGCAGATGTTAGCACAAAAAAACAGCATTAACAGGTAATGGAAGGCAGTTCTGAAAGGTGAACATTTACATACGCAGTGGGAATAACTTCCCACCGTTATGGAATCTTTTGTTTGTTTGCTGGTATTAAAGATGTGTGCATGGTAATTAGCATCCGTACTCTCAGACGTTGGTTTGTGTACGACGAGCTGCTGGAAACGGGAACTGCTTTCTCTGGGTAAACCTGTGTGCCCCGTCCTGCCCCGTGTTTGCTGCTCAGGGCGGTCAGTTCTGGACTGGACCTTTTCTTTGTGCCCACAAGAGTGGGGTCTTGGTACAGTGCAAGACTGTAGGAGGGTTTTGGCCCTGCTCTGTGCTGTGAAAGCAGTGGTTTGAAGGGCTTAAGAGGCTGCATGTTCTTAAGAAAATCATACGGCCTGTTGCCTTGGCTTCTATCTACGTATTTTGTATTCCAAAATGAATTTCATGTTTTGCAGATTTTTTTTCTGTTGTTAAGGAAAAGGCATATTTAAAAAAGAAAGTCATGCTCCACTGTTAGGAGTAATAATATTTTGATTATTAAAACTGAACGATGCTGTAAAAACTAATTTACTGATTATTTTGCTTTTTCCACTTGGCTAAATTAAATTGGTGGAGGCCGTTCACTCACAGAAATATTTTCTGATTGCCACAAACGCCATAAATACGTTCCCAAGAGGGTAGAGGAATACTAAAATCAAGCAAAACAACTTTTCATTGACCTGTTGCTTTGCATGGCAATCTCAATAAACCACATCTGAACTAAATTGCAGCAGTGACAGTCAGAAAATTCTGCTTTACTTATCAGAGTTTACAGCCTTTAATCTCCCCTGGTTCCCGTTCCTCATCCACAGAGGAAGCTGGAGGAGATTTCTTCTTTCTCAGGAAACAGAGACAGCGTACAAAGGAGAGGACACTGATTTGTGTAAGACCAAATTTGTGATAGCCCTTAAACTACCTGTATAAAATCAAAGGCACCCGTGTGTGTCCTCTTGAGGGTTCCCTCCACTCCTCTCACCTAGCCCTTGCTGCAGGTTTTTGTTCTGAAACCACATCTGAAGTGCCAGGCACAACAGAGACACCGTCACATCCATGGCAGCTGCAGTTTCTACTGCTCCTAATCCCTTTTGTTTCACCTTTTTCTCCCCTCCTTGCAGGAATCTCTCCTATTTTGCTACCCAAAGCAGCCCATCTGCAGTCATTCTGGACCTCTGGGAAGCCCGACATCAGCACGATGGCGACCTCGACTCCCTGGCCTGTGCCCTGGAGGAAATAGGAAGGACGCACTCCAAAATCTCAGACGTGACAGAAACTGCGGCTGAAGAGCCCGACTTCGGCTCCAGCAGACAGAACGGACTCTAGTCACGCCTGTCCCCTCACGAACCGATGGCCAGCTTTGACTGTGACACCACAGAATCTCTTTGGCAGGGAGGAAATAAGGGTTTCTGCACACTGTGCGTACGGAAGCGGACACTCGTCTCCACAGTGCAGCTGTCAGTTGGAGGAGCAGAAGAAGCCCTGTTAAAAATCATCTGAGTACTATGGAAAAGACAAGCTTCTCCCTGTCCTCTCTCATCTAAAATTCATGTTTTAATGTCAAAACCAAAACCACACCTCTCATTCCTGGGGCAGGAAGGAGTGAAATACAGAGCCATAAAAGGTAATTATTAAGACATAATGTATTTAGGAAAGAGTAAAGCTGATATCATGCCTGCTGCAGATCAGCAATCGGTATTGAATATTTAGAGCCACTGGAGCTAAACCTGGTTTAAAGGTTTGTTGTCTCGGGGCCTTGACTCCCCTTTGTCCTGCATCTCTCGCCGCACTTCAAGAGTCGGTGTAAAATGGCATTTGATGGCATCGTGTTGGCACTTGTATCTGCTACAGGAAAACTGAAAGTCTGGCCTTACCCTGTTCAGATGTTTGAGGAATTACAATTTCTCGTAACTATTTAATTGGTATAGTTACATATTCCAAACAGTTTCTTTAAAAAACGCAGTCACTTAACGAATGTACATTTGCTGCAGAGCTTTCCTGCCCGTTCTGTTAAGGAAGGAAGAGGACAAACCCCTTCTCTGCGAAAATAAGAGTGCGTGCGAGAGAAATGTTCTGAAATTCTCAGACTGCAAACTTTCACGCAGTCAAAAAGCGTTTCTTTTGGGGTGGATTTAAATAACCAAATAAAATGCACAGAATTGCCAGCCCTATTTTAGCAAGTTCACGCATATTTTTATTACTTCATGTTCTGGGGCTAAACTTAAAAAAGTAAAGGTGAAGTTAATCAGCACAGCTTAACTTCGGTTTAGTTTCAGCTTGAAACAATAAACCCCACACAACACTGCCAAAAACTGGCTTGATTTCATTGTGCAATTTGGACATTTCACAGGATGCAAAGCTGGCTGTGTTACACTTGGTTTAATTACAAACATATTGCGTTTACCACCAAAACCAGAATCTAGCTGGAGATTTCTCATAATTTTTTATCCATTTCATACAAAAATAATTTACTATTTCAACTGAACCAAAAAGAGAGCTGCCACTGTGAGTGTCCTGGTGGAGCTGGTACCCAGCCAAATTTAACCGTTAGTTTTACTCATCTATTCTTCAGAATCCGCCAAGGTGCTCGTTGGCTCTGGCCCAGGGCTATCGGTTTTGGTGACAGGAACACAGTTGGTACCGAGCAGGAACACAAACAAAACTTTAGGAGCTTTATGGAAATGCAAGAAAAAGCTTTCTGGGTTGGTTTTTTTTTTTTGCCCCCACATTTGGCAGCAAGAAGGCCACAGGGTAGGTACTTGGTGTGCAGATCTCTAATAATCTGAAGCTATTTCTTTAGCCAGATTCCAGTTGTGAAAAGTGATGAACAACTCTTGATGTGAGACTTTGCTTGTTCTCGCTCATCTCAAACTGCAAATTTCATTGCTCTCCCAGCTCAGCAGGCTGGAATAGTCTGAGACTTATAAATATTTCCCCAAACATTTTCTGCACTTTAGTATTTCATGCAGCCTGACATGAGAGTTCCTGTTTGCAATGGGAAATCATCATAATGGCTGTGAGCATATTTAAGCCTGAGACAAAAATACCAGCTTATTTGGCAGCAAGCTGTCACTGCTGTCAGCAGCACATGCTTCTCGCTGAGTTTGAATTCTATTTCTGGTGACTTCCAGTCCTCCTCCTCAGAAACCTGTTCTTCATTGGACAAAATGTCATGAATTAAAAAAATAGGGAATGGCATCCACAGAAAAGCGGTGGAGTTTCAGTGAGCTGTCGTTGTCTGGGAAACCAGCCCATCCCTAGACCACGACACAGCTACAGCCGCTCTCCAGCAGTTCCCATGTTCTCAGCGTCTCCTCAGATGCAGGTTTGATTTCCAAACCAGCTTAGGTCAGCTACCACACAAAGAGCCAAGTACCGCCCTGCAGGTGCTGGAACGGATTCATCTCATTCTGAAGAGCTGTATTTATTTTCTCCTCGTGTTTCCCAAATACATGTGAGCCGCACACAGCACATGGGGTCAGGCAGAGCTGCTGTCTGGAGCTCGGACCTTAAGGTGTTTTCTCAGGAAATGCGCAGTGTTTGCTTTCAGGACTTGGGTGGCTTTGAGAAGCCTCTGTGTACAGCGACACCCACCCCTGCCGACAGCGCTCGGTAAAGCCTAGAGAGAGAAACCAGGAGCTGTGCAGACAAAGCGCATCTAAAGGGATCTGGGCTGCACACCAAAATCCAGGGTAGAGCCACAGTCCAGTGAAGTCCGGTGTCTGAGTTAAGGTACTGAAAAGGAGTAAGTGTCAAAGTTCCTTACAGTGCCAGAGAAGACACTGTTCAGTTTTGGGCCTGAGGTTAGAGTTTAATTTTATGTTACTCACCAGAGGGTTGTTGCTCCCCTTTGTGTTTCGTTTCCTGGGTTTTCTTTTCACTTTTGCTAAAGCAGCTTCTTTCTTACTGATCTTACTTCTGTGAATCTGAATCAAGATCTCTGACTTCTTCTTAACTATTGTTACTTTGATGCTCTTGTATTGTTTAAGTGGACTAGGAATACCAGAACACTCCTTATTTACCTTTCTCCCATTGGAATGGGGTTTGAAAGAGTAACCAAACCGCTCGCCTATGCTTCTAATGTGAGCCTATCCAGCTGAACACCTGAGTCTCTTAAGAACTGTGTCAGGAGACAATCCAGGCAGTCTCAGATGGTACCACTAATAGTGACCAGGCTGGAAAGTTTAGGGACACGGGGTAAGAAATGTGCCCTGTGTTAAAGGGCTTCCTCAGCAGGGAGTGGCATCTGGACCACTGTGTGCAGGAACCAGTGACGCTGTCCTTCAGCAGATCCACTGATCCCTTCTGAAACACTGAGCCTTCGTGAACAACATCCCCGAGAAACAAGTGCCACAATCTTTTAGGTCTTTTTCAACAGCCCTCCCCTTCCCAGGCCTTATCTTTTGTTTAACACGGCTGCCTCACGTTCAGCAGAGCCACTGATCCCTTCTGAAACACTGAGCCTTCATGAACAACATCCCCGAGAAACAAGCACCACAATCTTCTTTTAGGTCTTTTTCAACAGCCCTCCCCTTCCCAGGCCTTATCTTTTGTTTAACACGGCTGCCTCACGACTGCCCCAGCTCCCCTCGCCCTCTGCATTAAGGAGCACTGAGCGCTGGTACCACACCACCTTGTCCGTATTTTGCATTCTTGACAGGCTTCTCTCACATTTCGTTTCTGCTCACTCTTGTCTAGGCTGAAAAGCCTTTGAACATCCCTGCTGTTATTCCCTGTACCATCTCTAGTTCTGTGTCTTTTTGGATATGCAGTGACCAATAACCTGTTTTTCAACAGGAATGCGGGCTAAATCATGCAGTTCCTGCATTTCCACGATTTCTTGCTGTTCCCTCATTCAGTATCAATCACAGAGGATTAAGATCTTGCTATCGCACAAAGCCACAAGAAACGCCTGCAAGAGCGCGCAGGACGCCTGAGAGTACAGCGACTGGCTTCTCTATGCATATTGATCCTGCCAATACATCCTCAACATCGAGAAAATAAACCCTGGGAGCACAAATTGTGTAGCTGAAAAAGAAAAGACCAAGGTGACAGAGAAGATGTCAAAATCATTACCAAAAAAAAATAAAAGGGAAATTGTTATCCATGATAATGCTGGAAATTGGTAGGCGGTAACTGAACAACAGGAACTTAAGTTAACTTTTGAGTCGGAAAATAGGCTTCAGGTTCTGTCTGTTCCCTTTCCCCCCATGCCTGTTGATCACTGATACACCTGGTACAGCCACGCTCCCTTTGCTGTTGTGTGTCAGCATCACGGGGTGACGTTAATGGCACTCAGCACTTTTACCCGCAGAGGCTTGCGCCCGTTCTCCTCCCTTGGTTCCGCACAGCCCCGCTTTCAGAGATGGAGAAATTAAAATGGGCTTTAGGTAAATGCTTCTGCTGCCATCCAAAGGAGGCAGGCATGCGGATTTTGTTGCCATTAACAGATAAACAATACGAGTAAAAGACGCTAAATATTTGCTTCCTGTTTTCTACAGTGGAAAGCAGCTGACTTGGCCGGCTCCCCCGCAGGCCTGCTGTGAGCACGCTTTGCAATGCAGCGTTCTCTCAGAACGGAAATTTAGAATTTGTCTGCAAATGCTGCGTAAACAGAGATGTTGAACAGCATTAGCAATCTGAAAATTCCAGAAGGACATTTTTAACATCAATGTTAAAAAGAAATGTCACGTTACATGCTTAAGATTCCATCTGCCTGCCCTGCATCTGAACTGGTGAAACGCCGTTCTGATTCTGCATCACCAAAGAACCTGCTCCTGTTGACTTCCTGAGCACTCTGCCCGCATCCGTCTGCGCTGTGAGTCATTTAAGGCTAATGGTTGCATTTTAAAAGTGACTTACAGTTTTGTCACCAGAACGGCGCACCTCACAGCTCGGCACGCTGCGGCGTCGCAAAGCTGATGTACACTTTCTACAGCGCTGCTTCTGCAGTCTTGCAAGTTTACACTGAAATCCTTGAAGCCACAAGGAAAGGAACCCTGCTCTGTAGATTTAAATTCAAACGTCATTTACCAGTGCAATTCCCATAAAACCAAGATGTACTCCCACAAAAATTTTATTGGGCTTTTTGTAATAGATGAAAAGATATCCACACAATTCTCTCAAAATACAGGGAGCTGGTTTTGTTACTGTTTTTCCCTCTGGCAGCAGCTGCTTTCAGCAGGTTAAGAGAGAAGCTTATTCAGCCG